TGGACAGCAACAAGGAAGGTTAGAAGAAGCCATCTAGCAATATAACTTCTTAATTTCCTGTCTTCTCTCATTTCTCACCCCTACTATGACTGCTTTTTTTCCCCCAACTTTAGTAGATTTGTAGTTCCTACACAGATGTACATCCTTTTAATTTATCAGTCCCTTTCCAGGAATACTTGCTTCACTAACTAATTGGTCCCATCATAAATTCACCCCAACCCTCAATTTCTTGCCCCCTGACCTGCTCTTCAGGAGTTCCAACCCCAAACACTCCACAGAATTAACCATCCTTTTTCTGAGCCACCTTGTACATCTTGCCATTGTTTATTATCATACTTATATCAATAGCATTGAATTGCTGCTTTTCCAACTTATCACTTCTATTAGCTTTTTGAAGGCAGAGACCAGCTCTAAAGTAATTTTTTTGCTCCCCATAACCTGGTATATTGTTTGGTCAACATAATTGGTGCTCAATATCCCCTTGTGGAATTTGAAATTTAAATTAATGTTGCAGGTTTAGGCTGACATACAATTTTGGGTTCCAGAGAGTATCTAAACAGTACCTACTGTTGGGATAAATATTTTATTGTCATTGGCTATGGTTCAAACTATACATACATATATAGAGATTGGAGTAAAAACTGAGACAGATAGCTCTCTGATATATTTGTAATGGTAACATTTTGTTACCATTACATTTTAATAGATGCAAATCATGCTGCATCTATTAAAAGTTTAGGCCATGTTGTAGAAATGACTGTATCTCAGTCCTTACTCACTCCTTCTGTCTGGAGTCCTACCTATTAGATAAAGAAATAGGTAACATTGTTCTGGGCCTAACATTGGTCATCTCTCAGAGCATAACTTTTTGTGGAAAGATTTCCATCCAACCGGACAGAGGTAAAGGTAGGAAGGAAATTTAAAAAGTGAAGCATAAAAAGAAACTCATCATGCTGCATCTATTAAAAGTTTAGGCCATGTTGTAGAAATGAAAATGAGAAATGCTTTATTATTTTGAAAGGAACAGGCTCTCCTAATATTTTTCTAATAATGAATGCTACATGATTACTGAAAAGTGATGCTAACATAAATTTATAAATTTGTAGCATAAAAATATATTTAACTGGTTGCTCAACTATTTAAAACATGGCTTCCCTGGAAACCATCATTCTCAGCAAATTAACACAAGAGCAGAAAACCAAACACCGCATGTTCTCACTCATAAGTGGGAGTTGGACAATGAGAACACATGGACACAGGGAGGGGAACATCACACACCGGGGCCTGTCGGGGGTCGGAGGCTGGGGTGTTAGGGGTGGGGGGCTACATTAGGAGAAATACCTAATGTAGATGACAAGTTGATGGGTGCAGCAAACCACCATGGCACACGTACACCTGTATAACAAACCTGCACGTTCTGCACATGTATCCCAGAGCTTAAAGTATAATAAACAAACAAACAAACAAACAAAACAAAACATGGCTTCCTTCATTCTACAAATTTTGCTTCCTTTTCATTAACCTTTTATTTCTGACTTACAGTAGATTTTAAAATAACATTTTTCTTTCCTTTCTCTCTGATTTCATAAGTATTTCTTCATGGCAAAGAACTTTAATGTGACTCTTGTGATTGTTCTAGGGAAATATGAATATAATATTTTAAACATTTAAAGGGAAAATAGTAAAGTTTATAAAAGGCTTGTTTTTATTTTGTCAATAATAATAAAAAAGACATTTCTTAACAATGCCATGAGTATACTTTAAGGCAATTTAAATATTTATTGAATTGTAAGCCAAATTAAATATTTAATGTAATTAATTGTGAATTAAATTAAAATACAGCAATGTTGCCACAAATTAAGATTTTAAACCAAAAGCTTTGTCCTAGGTGAAATGATTTGACCAGCTAAAATTTGTCTTTATAGTTCTCCTGCCTGTACATTTTGGCATTTTGGGGTAAATTTCTCAGCCACCAAATTTGGAGGCCATTGGATCACATTGTAATATGTGCCGCTAAGCTGGATGACTCTAAAGTAGAGAGGAACAAGTTTGAGATGATGTCTGTCAGGAATTCATAGCCAGTACCTAGGAGAAGCTACCCCAATTCTAAAGCTAGATGATCAAATGCTTGGGAAACACACTCAATTCTAGCAAAACTTGAGCTCCACAAGTTCTAAGGACAATGTAGCAAATATCAGGTAATCACCTCTGGGGATAAAATATGGTAGGTAGTTTAAGCTCTGATGAACATGAATTACGGAAAAAGGAGCTATACTAGATCTACTTTTTTGTTTCCTTAAATCTTCGTAGTGGGCTCTATGGCTTCAATAAAGAGTTAATATTATTTCTTAAGGAAAATTTAGGAAGTTTATGGTTCGATTTTCTGCCTTCATTAATTAGGAAGACTGCACCATGTGTAAGGCATTTATCACCACTTTGTAGCAGAGTACCCTAAGTTCAGTTCTTTTGAGGAATTAGCACTCTTTCTGAAAGTTAAATCTGCAAATCTAAACATGCCAAATGACAGACTAAGAAAAAACACACACACACTAAGTTTAGAAGAACTTAAAACAGATCTAATTAAATATTCTTCATTTAATTTGCAGATAACTGAACACTATGGGATAATAGGGGAATATACCAATCTTCTGAGGCATGTGGATTTCTATGTTATGCCGGTGGTTAATGTGGATGGTTATGACTACTCATGGAAAAAGGTAGGAGAAAAGGCAAAGAAGACAAATCATGCTCTCCTTGGAGATATAGGATATATAGGTTGAATTATTCATAGAAGTTTGGATCTAAGCACAATGGCTTTATTATTACATTTTTTAACTTTTATTGTGGAAAATGTCAAATATATATAAGTGCACATAATTGTGTAGTAAACTTCTATCTACCCATCACAGAGCTTCAACAATAATTAACTCATGGCCAGTCTTGTTTCATCTGAATTCTCTCTACCCACTTCTACCTTACTCATTTTATTTTGAAGTAAATCCTAGGTACCATATCACTTCATCAATAAATATTTCAGTATGCATTTCTAAAAAAAAGAACTCTGAAAAAAATAATTACAGTATAATTATACCTTGAAAATTAACCATTTCTGAATACCATAAAATATTGCCAGTATTTTCAATTGTATCATAACTATTTTTTCTTTTTGAGATGGCATCTCGCTCTGTTGCCCAGGCTGGAGTGCAGTGGCACGATCTCGGCTCACTGCAACCTCCACCTCCTGTGTTCAAGAGATTTTTCTGCCTCAGCTTCCTGAGTAGCTGGGACTACAGGTGCCTGCCACCACACCTGGCTTTTTTTTTTTTGTATTTTTAGTAGAGACGGGGTTTCACCATATTGGCCAGGGGGCCTCAAACTCCTGACTTTGTGATCCGCCTGCCTTGGCCTCCCAAAGTGCTGGGATTACAGGCATGAGCCACCTCGCCCGGCCTCATAACTTTTTAAAAAGTATGTTTCTTTGATTCCAGATCCAAATAAGGCTCTTACATTATGATTGGTTTATAGGTCTTTTAATTCTATTTTAATCCACGGACTCCCATTCCATCTTTTGCTCTTTCTGTTTTTTGTTTTTTGTTTTTCCTTGCAATTTATTTGTCAAAGAAAAGAGTTTCCCCTTATCAGGATTTGCTAATTGCATTACCATCTTGTAGTTTAACATACTCTTCGATCTGTATTTTCTGGTTAATCAACATAGTGATTCATGTAAAATTACTCAAGCAATATGAAATACTATGCTTTCTAATTTTTTTTTTTTTTTTTTTTTTTTTTTGAGACGGAGTCTCGCTCTGCTGCCCAGGCTGGAGTGCAGTGGCCGGATCTCAGCTCACTGCAAGCTCCGCCTCCCGGGTTCACGCCATTCTCCTGCCTCAGCCTCCCGAGTAGCTGGGATTACAGGCGCCCGCCACCTCGCCCGGCTAGTTTTTTGTATTTTTTAGTAGAGACGGGGTTTCACCGTGTCAGCCAGGATGGTCTCGATCTCTTGACCTCGTGATCCGCCCGTCTCGGCCTCCCAAAGTGCTGGGATTACAGGCTTGAGCCACCGCGCCTGGCCTATGCTTTCTAATTTAAAGGGGCACATAGAAACATAACTAGGTATATATAAATTTAGAAAACCCTATTTGAGTAGCACATATAAATACTAAGAGGAAGAAGATTAGTTGGCGTGATTGGAAACATACGGAATTACACATGAATTATTTCATATAGGAGGTAATTTATGCAGAAGAGATAGACATGGCACAGGAGACTGAGGAAAAAGTCATCTCTGGTGAGAGGAATACTGTAACTGAAAATTTTGTAGGTGGAGGTGGGCAAATGCCAAACTAAGTAATTGAGAATTACCTAGCATAATGCCTAACACAAATTTGGTGTCCAATAAATGGTCATATCTGTAAACTGATAATAAAGTATATTTACACCTTAACCTGAATCACAGTGGAATTCAGTCACCCTTTAGATTTCCAACTTCCCAACTGTTCTTTGTATCATTACCCTATTATTAATTCCCACAGTTTGAGAACTTGATATCCCCAGGGTCTACTGTTGCCACTGAACCACAGGCTTGGGAGTGGTAACAGGCTGGAAGGCTTGGCAGAGGGTTGGTGAGAGTAGGAGAAAAGGGTGCTACATCATCCCAAACTCAGAACTTAAACAAAGTCTGTGCAACTCTTTACATGACCAAACTTTCCTGGTTTGCCCCAATAACCCAATAGGGAATTTGCTTTATATTTAAAAACCAGAGTCAAATCAGTACAATTGAAGAAGTCATCAGATTAGAGGTGTCTTCACATCTCCACCTTTTCTAGCTTTGAAAGAGGAGTGGTGAATTCAACCTAAAGACAGCATTTTAACTTATGACTCAGTGTTGAGTTGAGACACAAAGATATTTTGCTTTTCTTCGAAGGAGCTCAAAATGACCCTGTGCATAAAATTAATGTAAAGGAAACAAGACTAAACAAGAAGGCTAATATGCAGCCTAGTGGAATGAAATGAAATCTTTATTTTTATCAGTCAAAATTGATCAAATATTACCATTTTGTTTGGTTCAACTAAAATAGTCTGAGTGGATGTGATTGAAACCCGGATAGCAATAGGGGCCATGCAAAGGAATATTACAACGACAGCAATGTGATGAAGCCATGCAAGGTATGGGGTTGAAGGAGAGAAAGGCAACTCTGGTTTCATGGACTTTCACATGCGTGTTTTTCCTTGGGCCCTGAACGTGGCCACCCAGGTTGTCTGTATTTTGTTTATGTAGAATCGAATGTGGAGAAAGAACCGTTCTTTCTATGCGAACAATCGTTGCATCGGAACAGACCTGAACAGGAACTTTGCGTCCAAACACTGGTGTGGTAGGTTGTTGGCTTTATTTCTTGCAATATCTCTTCACTGAAAGGGTGATTGTCACAGAGAAAGGCCCATGAATTCAAATTAAATACAGAGCTAGCCTGTCTGAATCAGGGAATAATTTAAATGATAAACGCTTAGGTAAATGTAATGCTACGAATGTTGGCCAGAGTCAGAAAATCACTTTGGCCTCTCCTCTCTCCTGTTTTCCTATCTTCAAAATAAGAAAGTTGAATCAGTTCTTTAAGATTCCTTCTAGCTTCAAAATTCTAAAATCTGTTATCCTGGAATAATAAAGAAGTGACAGTTAAAGATCCTATTTTAATAAACAAAAACATTCATCATTAGAATATCAAAGACCTGAGATTGGGGGAGGACCTCTCTTTTTTCTTTTTTTTTGAGACAGTCTTGCTCTGTTGACAAGGCTGGAGTGCAGTGGCACAATCTTGGCTTACTGCAGCCTCTGCCTCCTAGGTTCAAGGATTCTCCTGCCTCAGCCTCCCGAGTAGCTGGGACTACAGGCATATGCCACCATGCCTGGCTAATTTTTGTATTTCTTTTTAGTACAGATGGGATTTCAACATGTTGGCCAGTCTAGTCTCAAACTCCTGGCCTCAAGTGATCCGCCCACCTCGGCCTCCCAAAGTGGCTCACAGGAGTGAGTCACTGTGCCTGGCCTGGACCCCTCATTTTTTAATTGCACAAGTAAATGTTTACTTCTATAGTGTTTGAAGACATTTTTTTCACTATTCACTTTCTTAATTTCTTTAATAAATAATATAAAGAAAATATAAAAATAATATTAAAAACAGTATAAAAAGAAGCACAGTGGGAATTTATTATTTCTTAATTTGAGTTAAGGCATTAGATGATGTTGAGTTATGCATTTAAGAACAGTCTGCTTTCAGGAGTTTGAAGATTTTTCAAAGAACTAAAAGTAGAATTACTGTTCGACTCTGCAATCTCATCACTGGGTATATACTCAAAGGAAAATGAATCGATCTACCCGAAAGACACATGCAATGGGATGTTCATTGTAGCACTATTCACAATAGCGAAGACATGGAATCAATCTAGGTGTCTGTCAATGGCGGATTGGATAAAGAAAATGTGGTACATACATACCATGGAATACTACACAGTCATAAAAAAGAACAAAATTATGTCCTTTACAGCAACATGGATGCAGCTGGAAGCCATTGTCCTAAGTAAATTAACACAGAAACAGAAAATCAAATACTGTATCGTCTCACTTATAAGTAAAAGCTAAACACTGGGTATACACACACATAAAGATGGGAATAATAGACACTGGGGACTCAAAAAAGGAGCAGGGAAGGAGAGAGGGGGAAAGGGTTGAAAAAGTACCTACGTGGTACTGTGTTCACTATTTGGTGATGGGTTCAATATAATCCCAAACATCAGCATCACACAATATATCCATGGAACAAACCTGTACATGTACTCCCTGAACCTGAAAACAAAGAAGTTTGCTTTTAGGAGGGTAGGTGTTACTTCACTCTTTCTTCCCACCCACTCAACATTATTTTTCATAGTACTACATTTCAGAAACAGCTATGAAAGTAAACTAACCTAACAAGGAGTATGCAACATCTGTATTTTTGGGCTCTATGGAGCCCATAAGAGAGAGAAGCTACTGTACCCACAGAAACATCCTCTTCCTCCCAGACCTGGACCCTATACAATCCTATGCACATAATTTTGCCTATTTCCTTTAAAAAATGTAAAATTTCATGATTTTAAACATTTTATCAAAACCCCAGAATACCTATTAAAACCTCACAACATTCAGCCCGGGAAAGCTGATTGCCAAAACAAAAGAAAACCAAACCTCACAACAAAGTACTTACCTTATTTCCTTATTTTTTTCCCTGTCTAGGTTTGAAACTCCATGCGAACAGAAATCAATACCCATTACCTAGTGCAGTGCCTGGCACTAGGAGGGTCCTCATAAAATATTAACTAAATGAGTCCATGAATGAATTAGTTGCTCTAAGAGCTACAGATTTGGTAGGAACTCAGAGGAAGAGGTAGTTCATCCTGACTTAGGTTCCAGGGAATCATTTAGTGGTTTCTCCCTAAGAAACCACTCGTGTCCCCAGAGGCCCAAAGTTGCAGTGGCACTAATAGTGGGCCAGGGGCTCCCAGGAACAGCAGCGATGTAAAAAGAATCTGAATAAATAGAGCTGACAGTTACTCAGCGCTGAGCTACTGACATAGTTCATCTCCCAGATTTCATTATCTACGAATCATAGATGGAGAAACCCAGGCTGAAAACAGTTAAGTCCCTTTCTCAAGGGCATGTAGCAAGTACGCGCAAGTACGTGGCAGAGCTGGGATATAAACCCAGGTTATCAGTTCCTTTTTGGAACTTTTTATTTATCTTCGAGCTCTTTTGGTGCTTGATTTTACCTAATACGTTTCTTGGTGAAGTCAGTGTTATTTAATTTGGATAGCCAAGTAGTCAAAATATATTCTGTTATTGTCATCAAGAAATGTCTCAGTCCCCTCTTAGGCATGGTGCTATATTCTTAAGTATCACAAGAGTGAAAAACAGAAACAGAAGCAGCAAGCATATGGGTTTTTAATTTTTAAAAACCCCAAAATAAAAAATAATTGTAAGGAACTCCTTTTATTACCAACTGTTCCAGTATGTATTCTGTATTATGTAAGCAAGACAGTGAGAAAAAAGAATTTAATCTTATCTTTCTCATCCCTACAACTAGAATGTGCCCCTACGATTCTTTATATAAAGGATCTAAAAACCACCTCACTTATTAACAGGAAGTGACATATCAAACCTACTTACTCATTTTATGCTCCTCTGTATTACAATTTTGCGTGTGTGTATTGGAGAGGAGAGTGGAGGGTAGGTTGTAGGGGTGTCTTTGTCTTCTCAGGCTGCTACAACCAAACACCATAGGTTGGGTGGCTTAAACAACAGAAATTTATTTTCTCACCGTTGAGGATTGGAAGTCCAAAATCAAGGTGCCAACAGAGTGAGCTCTTCCCAAGGATTTTCTCATTGGTTTGTAGACAGCTGCCTTCTCTCTGTGCCCTTACATGGCCTTGTCTTTCTACACAAACCTCCCTGGTGTCTCTCTTTATTCCTATAAGGGCACCAGTCACATTGGATTATGACTTCATTTCACCTTATCTCCTTAAAGGCCTTGTCTTTAAATACAGTCACACTGGGGCTTAGGGCTTCAACACAGGAATTTCTGGAGGATGCAATTCAGTTGATAACGGGAGCACATTATGAGAACCTTTGGTCTCAAACTACCTAAGACAGCCCTACACGTTTTCTAAAACACGGAGTTCAACTACAAAGTTTTTGCAACTGGCTTGAATGGAAAATCCTTTACTTCTTTTTCTAGGAGACTATAGTGTTTTTTAAAATTATTTTTTATTATGATAAAATACATGTAATATAAAATTTGCCGTTTTAACCATTTTTAATTGTACAATTCAGTGGCATTAAGTACATTCACAATTACTACTATCTATTCCTAAAATTTTTTGTCACAAAGAGAGATTTTTGCCTATTGTTACCAGTAGGCAATATCTCCTCATCCCTACCTTCTCCCCAGCCCTTGGTAACGTCTTATCTACTTTCTGTCTCTATGAATTTGCCTATTATAGATATTTCACAGTGTGCTTGGTTCCATGTCTATAGATGAAATAATGCTTGAACTTGGAGGGATCCAGTGGCCCAAGTTCCTTCGTGGTACAGATGAGGCCCCTGAGGCTGAGATGGATGAAGTAGTTGCCCAAATTAACATGACTGCTTAATGGTAAAGCAGAGTTTCAACCTTAAGTTTCCTGCCTCTTCAAGGCTCTTTCCACTAAATGGCTTGAAATCTCTAGGATGACAGTCATAGAATGAGAATCCGAGGCTGTCCAGGACAGTAGCCACTAACCACATGTGGCTATCCAGTGCTTAAAATTTAGCTTGTCTGAATTGAGACATACACTGAGTGTTAAATACACACTAAAATTTGAAGACCTAGTATGAAAAAAGTAACATAAAATATTTCAACGATAATTTTTATATTGGTTACATTTGAAATGATACTTTGTACATATTTGGTTAAATAAATTATAATATTGAATTAATCTCACATATTTCTTTTTGTGTATGTGTGGCAGGGTCTCGTTCTGTCATCTAGGCTGAAGTGCAGTGGCACGATCTCAGCTCACAGCAACGTCTGCCTCCCAGGTTCAAGTGATTTTTATGCCTCAGCCTCCCAAGTAGCTGGGATTACAGGTGTGCACCACCATGCCTGGCTATTTTTTTTTTTTTTTTGTATTTTTGGTGGAGACAGGGCTTCACCATGTTGGCCAGGCTGTTTTCAAACTCCTGATCTCAACTGATCTGCCCGCCTCAGCCTCCCAAAGTGCTGGGATTATAGGCATAAGCCACCGTGCCTGGCCTTTTTATTTTTCTTAAAGTAGTAACTGGAAAATTTAAAGTAAATATGTGACTTGCATTATATTTCTATTAAACAACCCTGGTCTGAGGATTCATATTAGGGCACCACCTCTCTATTCAATGGTTATGTCTTCCCCGACCTCCATATCCAATACATAATCTCTATTCTCTAGAATTATATACCACATAAAAGGGCAGGAATATTCAAAGGTGACCAAACTATGAAAAATGGTTTATCCAATCACCTTATTGGTTAAAAATGAAATACTTCAGAAGACCTAAGATGTTCAGCACATTTCCTCTCAGGGAAACAATTTTTTAACAAATATTAATGTTATGCTTGTATAATAACAGGAAGAAAGCAGAATGAACTTAAATAAGAAAAGCAGGCTCTGTAAGGATAGTAAGTAGCCCATGGAACCCTGAGGCAGGGATGCAACTGGACTCAGAAACAGAAGGGAACTGGGCCTGGAGCCCTAGAGACGCTCAGTGAATCCTTTCTCTCCCCTTTTCATCTCTGTGATGCACACTGGCTTCCTTCAGGTCTCAGTCCACATGATGATGATGATGATGATAAACAGCAACAGTTATGAAATGCATACTACATGCCAGGCACTGTGCAAAGCACTTTGTATGAACTAACTCATTTAATCCTCATTCAATCAGCATTTAATGTGTAATTTTTCCATTTTGCAGATAAGGAAATGGAGATACAGATAGATTTTTAAACATTTACCCAAGGCCATATAGCTAATAAATGGTAAAATCAAGATTTAGAATCCAGTAATTGGGTGCTTAACAATATGCTGTATAGCCTCTTATTTTGAAGAATGGTTATCACCAAGAATATCCAGATTGCATCTCCTAAAATAACAGTATTTACTTCATCAGGCTGCTGTAAGAATAAATTTTTGCCACAAATCCTAGCAGAGTTCCTGACATATAGCATGTGCTCCACAGGCGTCAGCTGGTAGTATTACTATTTTTAGTGTCTGTTCAAGACAGCAGCTAGACTGAGATGAGACTCTTAGTATTGATTTCAAGTTATCTTTGAAGGGATTCAGATTGGCAAAGCACAAGAGTCAGACCCAATCCTGAGCCCTCAACTGTTTGCAGGAAGGGATAATCTCTTGTATCAGATGCAGCATGCTGGAGCTTCACCCTTGTGAATTAGGGACAGGGGGAGAAGTATTGGAAGGCAGGGTACCATCTGAAGTGATGCAAATTATAATCTATTAAAGGAACGAATGAACGTTGGTCTGGCAACAAATACCATCATCCCATTTTATTTACTAAACCACTTTAGCAAGTTAAAAGTAGCACTGAAGGCAGACTTACATATTCTGAGTTGTGAAGCGAGGCTTTTCTTTTATGGGCTATATTAATGGTAGCTTTAAAACTACAAATATCAGAAAAACTAAATTTACAGTGGATTAAGGAAAATGGGGTTTATTTTTTCTCACATATCCAGAAGTCTGGAGATAGGGCTGGTATCTCTGAGACTCTCTTAGCCACTTTCTTAAGGTCACAAGGGAGACAGGTGCTGGGAATGACTGTTAGAAGGTCAGCTGTGTGAGCAGATAAGTATCTGACTTCAAAAGAAACATAAACAACACTTAGTGGAAATATGTTCTTTGCAGAGCCCTACCTAATCCATTCATCTAAAAATGTTGCAACATAGATAGGAGAATACGTTGTCTGGAAAACCACAAATTACAGAACTATGTGCATCCCCTCATAATTTCACCTTATCAATTTCACTGCAGAGGAAGGTGCATCCAGTTTCTCATGCTCGGAAACCTACTGTGGACTTTATCCTGAGTCAGAACCAGAAGCGAAGGCGGTGGCTAATTTCTTGAGAAGAAATATCAACCACATTAAAGCATACATCAGCATGCATTCATACTCCCAGCATATAGTGTTTCCATATTCCTATACTCGAAGCAAAAGCAAAGACCACGAGGAATTGGTAAGTGCTACTTAATTATTTTTCTCATTAGCATTTTGGAAATAAAATAACA